GCTCCTGCCCACCGCGCATCACTGCTCACGGCTGGCCTCTTTCATAGCACCCAGCACCATTGCTGAATGTCTTCTTCAACACATCATGAATGCCACAAGGGCAAAAAATTAACCTCGCTCCTTTTGGCACACCCAGTCCTTAAACAGATAAGAAATATTGTTGAGTGATGAATAAATAAGACCAGGTCCACCCCAGCCTTGCCTTGTGCTGCAGTCCCTTGGAACACTCGAGCTTACATTCTGGACCAGTTAAGGGGCACTCCAGCTGACTGGACTGAGCTTTCTTCATGGAGAACAAGGCCAACAGTGGCACTCTCTTCTTTTCTTCCATCCCACATGTCCTGATTTCCAGCTAGTTCCTTGAGCTTCCCTGTCCAGTGATAAGTTTTGAATAAGAAAGGAATTATGAAAGAATTAAGCTGCCTACCACAAAACCTAGTAAATTGTAGGTGTTTATGATAGAACAGAATAGAGTGAGTGTTGGAACAACTCAAATTCTTCAATATGGAAAAAAAAAAGTTCATTAAGTTACTAGACCAGCATGACTCAGATAAGTTAGTCAAAAACAATCCAGGTCCCCCTCATAAATGTGTATGTTTAGAAAAGAAAACCTGCCAAGACATCAGCCTGGCAGGGTCTGTTCCACAAATGTCAAAAGGAAATACTGGCTTTATGTATAAGTAGTTAGCCAGATAATAAAGGGTGAAAGTAAAGTTTCACTCTTTCTTAAGGAGGGAAACCAAAGAAAAAGGAATCTTCACACACCATCCTTTCATCTGAGGTACAGAAAAGGAGAGGCAGGAGCCAGCCTACTGAACTGTGCTCACGTACAATCTCCCCGATGCACCACCAGCTGGCCTTTGGCTGCTAGACGCATGTGCCTTTACAATTTAGCCCTTTTCAGTTATTTTATTTAGACCAAGTTTCACACCTTTCAGGTCGTGGTGGACTGGAGATGGCACAATGGACAATGGCTTCAGGCATGTAACGCAGCTGGATGAGCCCCAGTAAATGGAGTGGAGCAAAGTGTCAGTGGCTTCTTACGAGGTCACAGCACATACTGCAGGTTACTAAGGTGGAGGGGGTCTGTTCACTGTCTCATAGCAACTTGTCTTGGTAGTTTTTTCTCCCAGTCTATGTAATCCGGTCACATGAATATTTCTCAGAGGATTCTTCTGGAGGCCTTCTAACTCTCCAAATTCTGAAATACAGTTACAAATAATTTCTTCCCTCTCCTTCCTCAGTGGGAGGCCAAGAAGATGCTTACAGACCAACTTTAAATGCCCTTGGCAGGGGGCCAATTAGGCTCACTCTCACTATAAGATATTTGCTCTTACATTCCTGCCTTTGTCAAAGCTAGTGAAATTCAAATCGATGACAAATTTTCTACTTGCTGTGAGTCCTCAAAGGTAATTTGTGAATACTGAAAACCTCAGTGATCAGCCTGCCAAAGCCTGAGTACTATTTACCCAATTGGAATGGCTATCTTTAGGGCCTGTGTGACAGGTAAATATTAGTATTTCAGGGCACCATGTTTTCTGCATTCATTTGTTGATTCATCATTCAATAGTTTTATTGCTGAGCCCTGCCTGAGTATGTGTCAAGCCCACAAGATACAATATTAAATAAAACACAACTTCTTATTCTTGCAGGCTATGCAATGTACAGAGAGAAGATAAAAATGCATTACAATTTGGTGAAGAGATAGCTTTGGGCCAGAATTATTTCATTTTGTTTTTAGGGAGATGATTTGCCAATGGGTTTCAGCCATGGACAAGTTCTCTATGGATTCAATGAGTCCAAAAAATGACAGCAGAACATTCTTAGGATGAAAAAGTCTATACCTATCTTTATTCCCATGGTGGCAGGTCAATCACTAGAATCCTGTCCACTCAGAGCAAGTCTGCATGCAGCAAGCTGGTCTCTGCCTCTGGGCTTCTCTGCCCCCATGGCCGTCTCAGTTTCTGTCCTCAGCGCTGCCACCACCCAGCCTCTGCTTTGAAGCCCTGCAGCCCTGAAGCCCTGCCACAATCCAGAGCACTGAGCAGTGGTCTTTACATAGAGTCAAGAACCAAGTATTGCCCACATGTGTATAGTGAGCAAGTAGACCAGGGCCAAATGAGAATCCTAGCCATAGGAACCTACACTTTCTCCACAGAAGAGTAACTTTTTAAAGTTAGAACCCTACAAACAAAATAGATTCTAAAGGCAAAATCATGTACATACAGTGAACTTATTCCCCCAGGAACCATGGTAAATTATTTCAGAGAAATTGAGAATTGGCAAGGGTTCACTGTGATGCCATTTACTGCTTACTGAACAAACCCCATCAGCTAACAGCATGGACTAATGAGAAGCTGGCCAGGAGAAGTCTGCAGCCAGGTGTTATTCTACAGTCATATCACAAACAGTCATGTATACAGGGTTTTCCCATAACTTGTTGCAGCAAAACTAAACTGATGAGATTCCTTTGTGAATGACTTTACCTCAGAAAAACTTTTCATAAAAGCATTCACAAGAATAGGTAGTGTACATTGTTTCTAGCTTAGAGCCAGAAGCTGAGACATGGATTGGTGCAATATAATGGTTGTGATAAAGGACAAATAAAAATGATAAAACAAACTGCTATGATGACTTACCTTGTAAAATACTTTTATCATAACAGCTTTATTGGGATATAATTCATATAAATACTATACATTCCACCCATTTTAAATGAACAATAATTGTTAGTATATTCACAAAGTTGTGCAACTATTATAATTTTAGAACACTTCCATCCGCCTGAAAAGAAACTACATACCCATTTGCTGCCACTCCCCATTTCCTCCCTCAGCCATAAGCAAAAAGCAACCTGCTGTCTGTCTCTATGGATTGCCTGTTCTGGAAAGTTCATGTAAGTGGAATCAATAATATATGATCCTTTGCAACTGGCTTCTTTCACTTAACACATTTTCAAGGTTCAGTCATGCATGTATCAGTACTTCGGTTTTTATTGCCAAGTAATATTCTATTGTATGAAAATGTCACATTTTATTTATCTGTTCATCAGCTGATGGACATTTGGGCTCTTTCTGCCTTTTGGCTATTACAAATAATGCCTGTGAACAAGTTTTTGTTTGGGCCTGTGTTTTTATTTCTCTCATGCATACAACCAAAAGTGAAATTGCTGAGTCATATGATAACTATGTTAAGCTTCAAAGAAGCTGCCAGGCTATTTTAACAAAGAACCTACACCATTTTACATTCCCACTAGCAGTTTATGAGAGTCCCTATTTCTTCACATGCTCACTAGCACTTGTTATCATCAGAGATTTATTATAGCTACCTTAATGGTATCTCACTGTGGTTTTGATGGTAAATGATGTTGAGCATCTTTTCATGTGGTTATTGGCCTTTCATATATATTCTTTGGACAAATATCTGTTCATATCTTTTGCCCATTTTTTAATTGGGTTGTCTGTGTGTAAAATACCTTTAAAGTTTACAAAATGATTTAATGTATATTATTTTTAATATCTTGCACAATCTAGTACTCTGGGTTTTGTTATTATCATTACATAAAATTAGAGAACTGAGGTTCAGAGATATCAAATGACTTGCCAAGGTCACTCAGCTCTCAAGTTTTGTAAAGCAAAAATTGAACCCAGCAGGGGTACATCTCTTGCCATAACTGTCATCTCTAGGAAAAGAAAAGAGACAATTTTCCTTGTTTCCCACTTAATCCTGACTAGGCAACACACAATGTCCAAAAGTCATTAAGTCAAATAACATTAGAATCTCTACACTGAAGAAAATTCTTCAGGAGAGAGTTAAGCTATAGCATTCAATATGGATTATATAGATGACCATTCAGGAATATTCCTGAGCAAGAGTTCTTTTACAGGACTTGGCCATGAAGCAGCCTAAGAACTCAGAACTTAACAAATTTCCCATTTGTTACCTCATCTTCCTGTGACGATCAATAGTTCTAAAATCACACTGCCTTTTGAGGTTCTACAGATGCCCTGTTTTATTCTTCATTTCAGTATGGGAGTTTGTCAACTTTCTCATGATTGATAACTTCCAGATGTTTCCAGATGCAGTGGGAAAATCGTTCTATGAGGTTAGTGGAAACCACCAGAAATGGTTACCACAATCCATTGAGTTCCAAAACATCTTACATAGAACACAAGTCAATTACCACTGAGGGCACATGGTAAGCATTATGTTAATTTAACACAAACATGGTATGATAGTTACAGAGTTGGAAAGAAATATTAAAAAATGAAGTCAGGTGGAGTGATGTGGACTCTGGAGTCAGACAGACTTGAGGCCAGTGAACAGCGGGCTTCGCCACAGTCATGTGGGCATGAAGTATGTCATTCATTTATCTGAGACATGGGTTCTAGCTCTCCTCTGTGAAATGTAAAAGAAAAAAACAAAAAAATCAAAACAAAAAACCTTATTCTTCAGGATTTTCACAGAGTTAAATGAATTGTGAATGTAAAGTGTCTGGCACATTACTCTTAATAATGGTGCCTGGCTTATGAGAGCAGAAGAGAATATCTGTAGGATCTTTGCGATGTTTGCTATTTGAAATGAGTAGCTCTAAAAAAAGGAATTATTTCCTAGACCCAGGACCCAAATAGCACATTTTAATATAGTAGGGAAAAACATTGTTTAAGATGATGAGAAAGCTCTTGACAACCAGGCATATGGCTTTATGACTGGCAGCTAATGTGTCACTGGGAACATCTGTAAACTTAAACCAGAGGTACAAACTACGATATTGACACAAAAGTGTTGATATGGAAATGAAATTGTTTTGTTCCTTGCTTTCTTAAACAACCCATCATTCACTCTTTTAACAAGACTGACATGATTTTGTCTGTCTTTCTAGATTCTGTTCTTTGTTGGATGAGATATGGCAGGCACGCTTCATAAAAGATGTAACCTGAGCCCTCGGCAGCCACCTTTGCGCAGATCCTGTTCCGCCTCTTTTCGCTTCCTCTGCAACCATGTCTGACAAACCTGGTATGGCTGAGATTGAGAAACTTGGTAAATCGAAATTGAAGAAGACAGAAATGCAAGATAAAAATCCACTGCCTTCAAAAGAAAAGATTGAGCAGGAGAAGCGAACTGATGTAGTAATGACGCATGCGCCGCCCAGACGCACTGTACATTGCCTTATTTTACTTTTTATCTGTTCAACTTTGTAAAATGCAAAGATATTGGATCAAGTTTAAATGACTGTGCTGCCCCTTTTCACATCAAAGAATTGATAACTACTGACAATGAAGGCGGTTCCTGCCTCTCCCATCTGCCTGACTGGCTCGCAGAAAGGAAAAGAAATTGCGTGCTTGTGAAGGAAAAAGCTGGGTGGGAGGGCAGTGAAACGTAGAGTAAAAACCAAGCTGGTCCGAGATGTCCTGCAGGCTGTAAAATGAAGTTTAATCAGAGTGCCATTTCTTTTGTTCAAATGATTTTAATTACTGGAATGCGCAATTTTTTAATATGCAAGTAAAATTTTAAAATTAAAAAGAAAAAAAAAAGATAAGAACTTGATGTAGACATGCCTTTGCAAGCTAATGCCATCTTCAGGATTGGTGTTGGGATATACGTACCCCATTACATTCCTGGAAAAAAGAACATTTGTGCCCAGCTGATAGCCTCAAGCAAACCTAGTGAGGATGGCCACCATTTGGAAATCAACACAAAGAACTCTAAGAAGATGTAGGCAAGACCCCCCCCCGCCGACCAGCCCACTTTCCCCACTGTTCTGTGAGGAGAGCTGTCCGCTGCTCCACCCCAAATATGTCTGCCCTTGTATGGAGCCGATATGTCTGGCCTTGAGAAACCTGAAAACACAGAGTGTTGTACCAGTGAGAAAAGAGCTAAATAAGGTTCCTGAAGGCCGGACACCTGCCCATGAAGGCCACATGCATGTGCATCTTCAACATGTAATGGTGAATTAGCAGTATAGACTATATAGGAAGTGCAGCTTTATGCAGAATAAGGTGGCCTCTTTGAGCACCCTCCATGATGACTCCCGCTGCCTTCTTTGCTCTTCGCGTTGCCCCAAACCTTAAAGGCGACCCCCAACCCCGACAGAAGGTTAATCAGGATTTTTTATGGAACCTGTTTGAAAGAACTTCAATTTACTTCTGAGACATTGTAAAAGGAAAAAGATGAGACCTAAAACTGGCCACTGATGTTGATTATTAGTGAAGTTGTACATTATATATAAGGATTTGTATTTTCTCCTCTGTGATTCATATGTTGGTGACATTTGTCCATTTTCCTATTATGATGTTTATCTTTTTCCATGTTGTTCAGAGGCTTTAATATAAGGAATATTAATATGACTGTCAAAAACATAGCAAATATTTTCCAAGTTTTTGTTTTTCATTTTGTTTATGAAATGATTGATATAGAGGTGCCTTCTATTACAACGTAGTCAAATGTGTCTTTCCCTTTGTGATCTGTTGCACTGAAACATCTTTTTTTCAAACTTAATTTACAACTGTATGTAATAGCATCTAATGTTACAAAGCAGCCTTAGAGGATGAGGACAGAAGGGTAGATATTCTATTAAACAACTAGAATGTCTTAGAGAGCAATTTCTGTGTACTTCTGACCCCAGATTGCTAGAGTATAAATAGTAAATACAGACTAATATTTCAAGAGCCTTTGTGTGAATGCCAAGAGACACTACCAAAGCCTATGGATGGGAGGAATGAAGAGCTGAGTTGAGGACACTGACCTTAATCTTTTTACTTTGGCAGATCTGATATGTTTTCAGAGACAAGGTGTCTTTTCCTCATGGTGGTTGCAGCCCTCTTTAGTGATTAACTCTCTTCAGAAAGAAATTCCATGATCCTATATTTGGTGGTATCTCAGAAAAAATAAAGGAGGTTATGTATCATCATCATAGTAGTAACAAATGAGTTTGAAAGCTCTGAAGCATTTCTCCACATTACTTCATTTTAGCTTCAAGTGTCAAAATGAGATAGGTAGAGAAATATCATTATCTCCATTTCACAGAAGAAGAAAATGAATTCCAGAGAGCTTAAGTAATTGACAGCCCAATGTGTACCCCAATGTGAAATCCTAGACTATATTCTTATTCTCAAATGTAGTCTTGTGAGACAAGATATGTTAAAGGAACAAAAATAAGAGTACCCAAGAGAATATACACAAGCATCAGTTTGAATACAATAGCACACTATAATGCATGCAACTAATAATAAACGCCAAAACAAGTAGCTGAAAAAAGATAATATCAATATTGCCTGAGTGTTAGAGAAGATTTGGTGGAAATAATAGTATTTCAAATTGAAGCTGGATTTTGGCAAGGTGAGAAAAAAATCATTTCAGACAGGAACATAATGAGAAAGCGTTAAATAGGAATGTGAGGTCTGGTATAGGGAGAGAGAAGCAGTGAGGAGAATGGCCTGCTGGAATAGCCTTGTTAAGAGCAGGATATTAGGCTGGAGAGGAAAAGTCAAAATTAAAGGGCCTGCAACATCAGGGTAAAATACTTTAAATTGAACCTTTAAGCAACAGAAGAGTATTGCAAATATTTTCAAAGGGGAAGTAAATGATTAAAGAGTTCTTTAGGAAGACTGATGATGAGAACATGTAAAAAAGATAAAAAGGAGAGATGGTGGAGTCTAGAAAAAAGCTAAAATGCTAAATTCCAGGTGTGAAGTGATAAGGTCTTAACAATGGTAGAGAGGACAGAAAAGCACAGGAGTAAATTCAGAATCAGAGATGCTGAAGAAACTTCTTCAAGAGGTGAGTCTCAGGGAATGGAGATAGTCTGATACCAGTGAAGGAATATAAGCAAAGAGATACATTTATATATATATATGTATACATAATGTGTATTTTGTTTGTGTATATATATACATACATACACACCTCTGTGCTCACGTGGCAGGCACCCAATAAACACTTGCCCTCTGCTCCCCCTCCAGGGCCCTGGAGATGGTACAGCTTAAGAGGTTATTAGTTAGGAATGATAACTAGGATTTTGAAAATAGATGGGACTCCAGATGCAACAAACATAGAAATAAAAAAAAAAGGCCCAAGAAACAAGATTCGAGGAGCATTCAGACTTAATGGATAGGAGACACCAACAAAGGAGATTAAAGGAGCAGAGGAGAGACATAGTTGCCCCTGACAACTGCACAATTACCTCTACAGCATTAGGTTTAAAGCCTCATATGCACTGTGAAGGGTATGAACAGTGAAGTTAATCAAGAAAGCAGAGTTATTCTGCCAAAGAGACCTATTTGAAAGTGAAATAGAGGTCAAACCCCCACTCACACATGGAAATCGGAAACTGCCAGATGTTCCAATGCCGTGTTATAGTTCAAAGAGGGCAGACTTGATGGATTATTAACTGTGCCAGCTGGCATGTGGAATTTACATTTTCTTTATTGTATGAAATGTACAGTCATAACAGAAACATTCAAAACCTGCATAGTAATTAACCTATGCAGGTTCAAGGAAGGGCACAAAACAATATAAATCAGAGTTTACTGTAATAAATATAACTAACAGCAGAGGGCTCCCTTCAACACCTGACAAATTCTCAAGGCAGACAACTCCAAACGGAGGAGCTTATTTTCTGGTAAATTCTGCTAGCAACTGAACATTTTCATACATGGGGGAAAATAACTGCATTTGTAAATTAATATTTAGAACTTCAGGTTCTAGGACTCCTTTGTTTAAAAATTTTCCAGTTTTTCATAATGAGAGACTTTATCTGAAGTTATTAATGCAATAATACAGGGTGGCCTAGTTTTAAAATGCCTTACTGCTATTCAAGTTACAATCCAGAATAATTAAACCCTCAGAAATTATGATATTGAATTAGGTTATAATTATTTTTTAAATAAAAGTAAAGATTCCTAGTAGTAACATTAATGTATGCTCAATATGGGAAATAAAAATAGAAAAAAGAAAAAAATTAGTAAGCTTACCACCAGATATATCCTTAGTTAACATTTTGGGTTTTTTTCCAAACTCTTTTATGTATAACTTTGTTACCATGTTAATACATAGTGAAATTGACTATCATATTATATACTAAATTCATAATATTCATCTTGTTTGAATAATTAACATTTTAATAAAACATTTCATATTCCATTACAAATTTATTTGTATACATAACTCTTAATAATCATACAACATTTAGTACTGTAACTAAATGCACTAAAAAGTATTTAACCAAAAGCTGGATATTTAAACACATTCTAAAATTTCTTTTTACATAAATGTAACACCCTTTTGGTTACATGTTTTTTTCTGTATTGTGAATTATATCTTTAGGTTAGTTTTACAGATTAAAAATCTTTAAGGAAAATAATGGAATATGAAATAAGTAGGCAGTTTAAACATAACTTCTACTTAAGTGGAGATGAAACAGTTAAGCTACAAAATCTTAGTGAAACAACAAAATGACCATTTTAACCGCACTTCCTGCCTCTGAAGGACAACTGTTAATGCCTCATGGGAAATAAACATAGCATAGAGAATGTCTAAGAAGGCACAAGCAGAGTGTGATGATTAACATCAAGAGCACACTATAGTAATAACTATATTTGTGTATTTTTATCTTGTATTTAAGTATATATATTTATATATGTATGTATGTATTTACATTAAAATTAACTGGTAAAATGGACATATTACATTCTGAAATACAATTATTCTCAACTCATCATAGAGTTATTTTAAAAAATTCTGAATTAGTGGAAACATTAGACATCATTTAAAAATGAGATTGGAGCCAGTTAGTATCCACTGAAATTTAGGGGAAATGCTGGTGCCTGGAGGGAGCAAAGCTAATACCTTTAAAACATAACACCTGCACAACATCCAAAATGCAAACAACTACAAATGCTGGTGAGGACGTGGAGAAAAGGGGACCCTTCCTGCACTGCTGGTGGGAACGTAAATTAGCTCAAACATTGTGGAAAGTAGTATGGAGGTTCCTCAAAAAAATAAAAATAGAAATGCTATTTGACCCAGGAATTCCATTCCTAGGAACTTACCCTAAGAATGCAGGAGCCCAGTTTCAAAAAGCACCCCTATGTTTATCGCAGCACTATTTACAATAGCCAAGAAATGGAAGCAACCTAAGTGCTATCAGTAGATGAATGGATAAAGAAGATGTGGTACATATACACAATGGAATATTATTCAG